AAGATTTAGAAGAGCAGGATATTGATTTATCATGGTGGTCATATTTGCAAATTCAAACGAGACACGAAAAAGATGTTAAAACAATGGGATTTTACAAAGAACAGACAGAATTTGACCAGATATTGCTGAAAACAGATGAAAAACTGATTAAAAAAAAACTACAAATATTTGCTAAGCTTAAAGATGGAAGAGGAACAAGTAAAAGAAACAATGATAATATGGGCAAAGAAGTTTGGATATACAGTAAGTGGCAACGCTTATGGGAAAGAAACTCTAAAACAACAAAAGCGGCAACATATAAAGAAAACTTATACAAAATGTTATATAGATGGCATTTAACACCGGTGAGATTAGCAAAAATGTTTAAAATATGCAGAGCTTTTTTTGTCATAGAACGCACCGGAACGGAGTTCCAGCACCTTTTTTTGACAGAGTTGCCTTGAACAAAATCCTAGTCTTTTAGATACACTAAAAATTGAAGGTTTTTTTTTTTCAACTACAAAGGTAAACCTTGTAGGGTAGGCAAGGCGGGTTGTATGACGTGTGTGAGTTCTGGCACCTTTTTTTTTTTTTTTTTTTTTTTTTTTACAAAAAAGCACTGTATATAATTTAGCCTTTGTGTTTCAAGTGAGGTGGTTTTTTTTGTAAACAAGATCCAGGTTTAATACATTACTAAGAGTAGATATGAAGGAAGCAGTGAAGTATGCTGCCAACGTACTGTGTAAATGTATCAAGAATTATCCACAAATACTGTTTAAAAATACATAAGTACCGATTCTCAAAATCTTCCACTTAAAATCTCATTTTCCCCATAACCTTCATACATTTCCTAGCCCAACTGACTACAGAAGAATACATGGAGGCTAGTAGTTAAGGCAGTTCCAGTCTAACATACTGTGAGGATTAAGACTTCTCTGAGACCATAGCAACAAACTGCTTGAAACAAAACATCAAAAATTCCAGATCCATTATTGAAGTCATAGGTTCTCTAGAAGTTCATCTAAGTTTTCTTTTCTATTTCTCTCAACCATATATACACAGAAAAGCAAGATGCACTGACACTTCCAGCCTACACTCAACAGGTGGGTTCATTTTATTTGTCTTCAATTGGCATACTGATCTAATAAAAGGTAGTGGTTGGAAAAGACCTTGGAAATCATCTAGTCCAACTTGCTGCCCAGTGCAGGATCCCCCGTTAAAACATCCCCCAATAGCAGTAACAATAGTCAATTGCATCAATTCTGACCCATCTTTTACTTGAGAGCCCTTCGGATACTCAAGACAATCTGTCCACCAGTCTTTAGTTTTTCAGCCTAATTTATCCCTTTTCCACATAAATGTTCTCTTTGTAGTCCCTTTTTATTCACCTGATTTCTTCCGAATGTGCTCCAGTATATGAACAACTTTTCTAAAAATCTGAAGCCAGAAATGTATGCAATATTTTAGCCATGGGCATGACCAAAGCAGAATAGAAAGCAATGATTTATTTATCAAAATGTATTTATCAAATTCCAAGGCCATTCAATTCCAAAGCAACTCTGGAAAACTTATAATTTAAAAAGAACAATAATATAAATGACACAGCTAAACAGAGGAGCAACATATAAACAATAAACCTACAGAGACTCCCAAACAAAACAAAAGAAATCTCTTCTTTTATTGTGTTCCCACGGCCCTGGAAAATCTTCAATTGTTTCCTAACACAAAACTTTGCTGGGGAGGGAGATCATTCCAGAGGATAGGAGCTGTAAGAGTAGGCATGCTTCCTAGGTCCCACTGCATGACATTGTTTAATTGACAGGACCTAGAGTACATGCACCCTACTGGATTTTATCAGATGGGCAGAAACAACTGGAGACAAGCAGTCCCTCAGATAGCCTTAAAGAAGAATCAGCATCTTAAATTGTACCAAGAAGCCAACTGCAATAGGAAGGAGATGAAGGCTTTGGTGGACTGGTGAAATAAAAATAGCCTGGTTTTGAATCTTAATAAAACAAAGGAGATCATTGTTGATTTTAGAAAGAGCCGGCATAGTCATACTCCACTTTGTATCAAAGTTGCAGCTATGGAAGTGGTTAATAGTATTAAGTACCTGGGGTGCAGCTATGGAAGTGGTTAATAGTATTAAGTACCTGGGGGTGCAGATAACTAACAATCTGACCTGGTCTCTTCATTCGTTATCTTTAATGAAGCGTGCAAACCAGCATTTGCATTTCTTGCATCAGATGAGGAGAGCACATCTTTCTCCTTCTGTCCTGGCCACTTTTTAGAGAGGCACAATTGAGAGTGTTTTAACAAACTGCATCACTGTTTGGTTTGGTGGCAACAGTGCCTCAGATAGAAAATCCATACAGAGAGTGGTAAGGACAGCTGAGATTATAGGAAGCTTGCTTCCCGTTATTAAGGATACTGCTTATAAATGCTACACACCCACTTCATAGTGTGTATCCTTTGCTTCCCTGTGGGAAGAGGTTTCAAAGTATTAATAGCAGAACTACTAGATTCTGTAACAGCTTTGTTCCTTATGCCATCCATCTTGTAAATTCACAGGATTCTTTTTTCCCGCCACGTATATATATATGCATTCGAACTAGACTGATGTTTCTCTGTGTCGTTCATATATGTGTGTGTATGTGGGTATATGCAGAATGGTATTTTTTTGAGAGTTAAATGCAATGAAATTTCATTTTAATGTATGCTGATTTAGCTTACATTTAAAGTGACAGTAAAGATTCTATTCTATTCTATTCTATTCTATTCTATTCTATCCTATCCCTATTCCTATTCCATCCTAATTCTATTAAGCCAACTGCTACCCAGTTCAGTTCATGTTATAGTGGGGTCATGTGTGCATAATGGGGTAACCCCATCACTATCTGTGCTCTTGCATTCTGGACCTGCTGCAGCTTTCAGATAGTCTTCAAGAGCAGCCCCCAATACAGTGTATTGCAATAATCCAATTGTGAGATGACTGGGGCATAAGGAATTATCTGAAAGAGCTCCTTGTTCTGATTCACCTCTGGCAATTTCCAGTGAATAATTCTGAAAACTTGGTCATGATTTCTGTTTGTGAAATTTTGCTTCAGTCATTAATAAATGGTCAATTGTTTCATATGTTTCACTATAAAGATGACGTTTGCTGTTTGTTACATTTTGAATGTTTGCCTTCATGCAATTAGTTGGCAAATCTTCTTGAGCCATTAAAACAAAGCCTTCAGTTTCTTTAATGCTCCTGACCTGAACGAACTTCATTTGCGTTTTTTATCAGCTTTTCCTTCTTTCAAGTACTAATCATGCATTGGCTTGTTCTTCCAATTAACAAATTGGTTTTTTTAATCTCTCTCCCCACCCCCAATATTCAGCCTTTGTTTTCCTTGATTGACTTCCTTCAGCAAGGGTTCTTGGCTTTTCTTAATGTAGTCATTCAGGTCATGTTTTTTCCCCTCCAGTTTGTTTTACAGCCAGCCAGATGTTTAGACTGGCACTTTTATCCACTTATCTCATCTTCCCAGGGAGCTGTGATAGGCAGATGATATTGTTTGATGGTGTTAAAGCTATCACTGCAGGATGTAAACTATTTCTACTAAAGCTGCCTTTTGCAATTGACTGATGGTGATTTTATCAATGCTAATGGCATTCAAATGGTGTTCCACTTTCCTGATTGCATCCAAAGCACCTATTACTATCTGTACTACCTTTGCTTTCTTTTGCCACAGTCTTTCTATTTCTACTTGCCAGTCTTTGCATTTGTGATTTTCTCCAATTCTTTCTTTTCTATTCTGCAGCCTCCAGGTACTGCCACATCCACTATCTAGACTTTTGTCTTTCTTATTGACAATTGTTAGGGATGTGATAGGTGCTTGTCTGTTTGAATTTTAAAGTCCTAGAACACTTCAGCTTCTTCATTGTTTATTACTTTGTCTATTTTGTGGTTCCACAAGTTCTTGCTTGCAGGTAAATGGTATTTGTTGTAGATACTCCAATGCAGCATTGTTGCTACTTTGTCATGCTGTTGTTTGTAGTCAATCTGCAATTTTCTTGCAGTATCTAACTAGATGGTTAACTATTTCTTTAGCTTCTTTGCAAGGTGGTATTTGCTGTCTGTTGCTGTCTCCTCAATTCTTTGTTATTATTATCATGTACATAAGTGTGAAATCACAGCTTCTAGTTCTTAGCTGGTTTTAGCCTTCATATGCATCCTGTTCTTCCCAAGAACATAGGATGTTGTACTATCTATGTGGATCCAAGCAATGTGGCCCTTGTAACTGACAGATGGAAATTCTGTCAAAGCACAGATTTTCTAGGTGCTGTCTAAGATTTTTTGGTATAACACCCAGTGTGCTGATAGCTACTGGGACCACCATGATCGCTTTTTGCCGTAATCTCAGATTTGATTTTCATATCTTAATACTTTGAGGTCTTCTAATTTTTTATCTTTTAGTCTAGTAACTCCTGATATTGCCACATCAATTATCCACATTATTATGTTTTCCATCACAATTAAATCTTGTCTGTTATGAGCCAAGACTTTATCAGTTTGTATTAAGAATTCCCACAATATTTTAACATACTATATTTCTAGACGAATTAAGGTATTTGAATTTCTTTCCGTAGGGACAGAGGCAGTAGGCAAGGTGAGGTGGTATTAAGTCTTGTATGAGAACCATTTCTTCTACACAGGACCACAACTGGTGATAATTAGTTCAACAACAAAACAGGAACTCATCCTTACTTTGAACATCAAGGAAGTGCTAAGATTTAAAAAATATTCCTGGAACATAATCTAGATCAAAGGAGCCACCGAATTTTATGTGATCACTGAGAAAACCAAGTGTAAGCCATTGCCATAGTCTGTTTACAACGGAGCATTTACTCCGACCGAACCGCCAGTAAAAAAAAAAACAAAAAAAAAATCACTACGAGGTGGAGCCACGTCGCGCTCCATAAAACTCCGCCTTGGTCTCTATGGAAACCGGGATGCAGCGCAGCCCAGGCAGGAGAGGGGTATCCAGAGCTGCCGAGAGAGGCCTGCCCGCCTTTTCCCTGCTACTGGGGGGCGATAGGAGCAGCGCTTTGAGGACGTCTTCACTGACTGTTACGTCTCTACTCTCCTCCCCGGCCCTTATGAGGCGGCGTCTGCGGGTCCGGAGGACTCTTCCCCGACCTTGAGATCCAATGGAGGCTATTCGGGCTGCCGCTCCGGCTCTTGGGTGGGTGGTGCCGCTCTCTACGGGGCTCTAAACTGTCGGATCTCCCTGCTCCGTGAGAACGAGATCCCTAGTCTCTACAGACCTCTGGCGGAAGCCGGCGGCAAGTGTGCACAGCCACGTGAATCGGGAAAGGGGCCTGGCCAGAGGCTGCGAAGGCAGAATAGGCGGACCGCGGAGCTGCGTGGCGTTCACGTGTGAAGTGGAAGGAATGCGGTGTTTTTGTACCGGTAGACCAGGGGTAGTCAACCTTGGCTCTTTTATGACTCGTGGACTTCAACTCCCAGAATTCCTGAGCCAGCTTAGCTGGCTCAGGAATTCTGGGAATTGAAGTCCACGAGTCATAAAAGAGCCAAGGTTGACTACCCCTGCGGTAGACGAAAGTTTTCCCCCACCTCCGCGCACATCTTTTTGCACGGGGAAGGCTTTGTACGGCTAGCGGGTGCTGTAAAAATAAGTATCTGTTGCTTCGGATAGCAACGCTATTCGTTATGAATGCGACTATAAAGTGCAAACAAGTACACTTACGAGATTATGTTAATATCGTGTTTATAATCGGCTTTTACCATAGAATGATGGGACAAGGTGTAAGAGGAGGTATAAGGGTATTAAAAGCCTCTGGATATGAGTAAAAAAAATCACATCCAGACACAGGCTTTTAAGGGTCATTAATCAAAAGGCATACAGTTCTTTATTTTTCTTCTTGGTAATTTTTCCTCTCCGATAGGGTAAGAAGAGAAAATACAAAATAATTTCTGACACTGTACAGGGAGTCCTTTACAACTACGTGAATGAGAAAGGTGATTGTACAAAATAGGAGGACATTCTTGGACAGGAAGGATGTCATTAGTCGTTTGTCCAGTTTTAAGAATCACTAGGTTGAAAAATTTAGCAAGTATTTCTAAAATTATTTCCCTGCCATAATTTATTTTAAAACATTATTACGTGTGGGCTTCAACCCATTGCAGATGTGCTGTTTTATTTAACTTGTACAAAACTTTCAGGCCACTATTTTTTGTTCTTTCACTTCATGTCTTATTTGGACTTATCTTGAAAGTTAATTTTTTTTGATAACAGCAAATTGATATTTAGAATAATTATGGTCTAACATTATTTGGTGATCTTAAGATGCTACTGTCTTTTGCCATCTCTCTAATTGTGCAAAATAAAGCAGCAACAAAATTGCTTCTTTTTGCTAATTTGTATTTGATTATGTTTAGCAGCAGAATTGGTACAGTTCCAGTATCTTTGGCATGTCTCCTCAAAAATAAACTTTGCTTCTTTAAATTAAGCATATTTCCTGATAGGTAAGAATAGGAATCTAAGCTACATACATTTACTTACTGACATTATGTGTGAAAGAGTTGTAGTATTGGATGAATTTAGTTGATAAAGAATAGTAACTGTCCCTGATTATGATTTCAGAAAGAAGAAAAATAAACCAGGATATGGCTTCTCAGCAAATAATTCATTCTCAAGAGAAGAAGAAAGTGAAATTGAGACTGAGCAAATACCTGCTGTTGATTATGAGTGTGGTGAAGAAGAAGAGAGAGAAGATTATGAGAAAGAGAGTAATGAACAGCAAGATATATTAGTTGAAGATGATCTGAACAATAATAGGATTGAGTATAAATCTGGAGTGCAAGAATGGCCAGATGGTTCTTGTTATAAAGGCGAATTTTCATTTGATTTAAAACTTGGATATGGAGAATTTGCATGGGACAATGGTGAGGTAAACTGGTTTAATATTTAAAATGTGCTTATTTTGGTATTGTATGTAAAGTATTATTACTATTGCAACTTTACATAATAAAAACAGCTAAGGAACAGTCAAGGTTAGTGTTCATGCCCAAACATGCATGCTCAGAGGTATCTATCACAATATCCTTCAAAATACATAAGACAGAAAAAGTGTTCTGACTTTTGTAATAGATGACAATTTTCAGAAAATTCTAAAAGCTTTATTTTATATGTACTAATTATAATAAATTCTTCCACAATATAATTATTTTGAATGTTTATTTTATTCTTGGAAACTTGGATTTTGTTTATAATATTAGGTGGATAATGATTCTTCACATAATTTGGCTTCTCTTAAGCTTCATGAGACATTGTTTTATGATTAAAAAACTATACTGTGTCTGAACAGCTGAAAGTGCTGCCTTTATGTGCATTGTCTTTAGGAGTAGATCTTTTGAATTTTGTGAGACTTCTGAGGAGATAATTGTACATCAGGATCAGTATGTGAGATGGGCAGCCACATACATGTGAGAAATACATGTACGGTATATAATTGTGCTATCAAAGGGGGCATGCTTCAGACCCTGTCAGGCAAAGAATTTCGGCTGCCGGGGCCCAGAAGAGCCTTTTCTGCCATGGCTTCCACTCTCTGGAACCTCTTGCCCCCTGAAGTCATAGCCCGGGGCCTTAATGGAGTGTGTAGCGTGTTGGAGTTGGCTAATGGAGTAGAAAACACCCCATCGCCTCTTTGTGCACGCTTTGCACCTTCCCTCTTCATTCTGCTTAGTTTTAATTCAATTTTTTAAATTTGATCTTTATTGCTTTTATATTTTATTCTGCATTTTATCTAATGTTTGTAAGCCGCCTAGAGTCACCTTCAGTAAGATGGGCAGCATGTGTTTGATTGATTGATTGATAGCTAGCTAGCTAGCTAACTAGCTAGGTAAATAGATAAAGGTATACATACAATTAAGCTGTGAATTTCTTGGTATCACCTAACCAGCGGTCCCCAATCTTTCCCATAGCTCACACAAATGGAGCTGCATACATTCATTTGGGCCGTGGCCTATTACTGGGCTGTGGCTCAGGGGTTGGGCATCCCTACCCTAAACAGCTTGAATTTTATTTTTCAGTAGGGATTATTTGGCCTGGCTGAAAGCTCATCTCTTGATTTTCTAGGTTTGTTATTATTTTAGTATTTATGCATAGATTTGAATGAAACAGAAAGAAGGCTAGACTACTGTATATCTTAAAGAGGTTGTGAGCAAAAGAAGTAATTTGAAGAAAGCCACCAACCTATATTTTTTATGTGTTCCTATTGGCTTGTCAAACAATCCTTGCATAGTTCTTTACAGCTGAACAGGAGTCTACCCTTCTTTGTTCCCCCAGGGTAAACCTTTGAAAACCATGTCTATGCATTTCTATATAAAAAAGACTTCTCGTTGCATAAATGCCTGTAAAAAAGTTTGTGTATCTTGGTTATGCCCAAGTCAAACTGGCATAAGATCCTTGAGTTGCACTGTATGTTTTAAGGGTAAAAAATTGTCCACTCTATAGGATTCATCAAACTCTAAGCTTGATAATTTTCACAATCTATTGCAAGACTTCTTGTGGGAGGTTTAATATTATGAAATTTTATTATTACAATAAGGAAACTGCCTTTTTATCAGTTCAAACTATTGGACTACCTAGCCCATTACTCTAGCAGACAGTTGCAAGTTTTTTAGAGAGAGGTTTTTAAACCATCTGCTATCAGATTTTTTTCTAGCTCGAAATGCCTGGAATCTTTTGCTTGAAATGTTCTGCAACTGTACTGTGATTTGATTCTTACTTTAATGTTTATGGTTTGTTTTATTTAAGATAATAAACAATCTTCTGCTTTCTAGCCTGGTGCCTTAACCACTAGGCCAAACTGGCTCTTCAAGTACTTTCCATGTCCCTTAGTAGCCTGTGTTATATGCAGATTTCTGAATTATTAGCTTGCAATGGCTAATAAATTAGATTCCTATACCCCCCTGAAAATAATATTGTAAGCTACTAGTCTCTTAGTAGATTTTTAAGGGATTATTTATAAGACTATTTTCTTCTGGGAATCAGATTGAGAAGACAATCTTATATATAAATAAAAATGTAAATGTTCGTTTGTTCAAAATCTTAAATCTCTGAAAGTTCTTCACCGATTGCTTTGAAATTTTGACACAACATTGCATTCGAATACGCGCGTGTTTTTATATACCTATATTATATAGATGTCACACTTGTGACAGGTAAAAACAGGCTTTTTTTGAAAAACAGCGCCATCTGTTGGACGTAAAAGCAACACACGCTTTTACCAGACTGAGCCACAGCAACGCTAGTAATACATAAATGTCTGAATGCCATTATATATTTAGACTGAGAGAGTTTGCTTGAGTTTGATAGAAAATTATTTGTTAATAATAGTCTCAAGTGTATATAGTTCCAATGTGCTCCTTTCAGATACAATTTGTATGTTATTTATTTATTTTGTCAATTACTTCACCTTATTTACTGTATACTGAATAATGTTTATTAGAACAGAATGTAATATATCATTCTGAAAATAGATATTCAGTTTTTTTTACTGTGACAGTAATTCATGCAGTAAATGCAATATTAATGAAATTTACCAAGAATAAAATTTGTGGATTGGTTAGGGTTTATAGCTTTGTTTGAGTTTTATTCTCCATAGATTTCTCTTTATTAAACGTTGTAATTCTCAATATGTATAATCTGTAGTTATTTTCCATGTATGAAGCTAACTGGAATAAATTTCCTAAGCTTGCAGATGATGCTACTATATTCAAATTCTTTGAAAATATCAGTTAAAATATTTTTTTTTGTTCCCTTGTGAGCTGTGATATATACAGGCAGTCAGTTGTAAATTGCTAGTGCCTTTAATTATTTCTTATCAACTTTCTGTGAGAACTTTAAGAAAACTTGCAGATTTCTCTAAATTTGTCAACGTCTAGAATATAGGCTGGGATTCAGTGCATCTGTGACGCACTGTATATATTGATTGCTTTCCTATGTGTCCTGTAGATGCATCCCAGGAGAAGCTTTTTAGAAGGCAGAATGTACAACACTCCTATGAGTGTTTAGAGCCTCTTTATTTATAAGCCTTAAAACAATTGGGCCTAAAATCTTTAGATGGTCTTTGTAATATTTGAAATAATTATTCATCATATTACACGTACGGACATCTCTTAAATACAGACTCTTTTATTGATTGGTCTATTTCAGATACTAAACCTTAGTGATGGTGTTTGGCCATTAGTGTTCTTTTTCTGTCTGTTTAAATTTCCTGCTTGGTTTCCTGGTTTTCTGTAATTATAATTTACTCTAGTATTTTAGTAAGGTAAACAAAGGTTTCCATAAACCAGATTTTCCTTTTAACTCAGAGTTGGTTACCCAATTCTACATTTATTAGTTCCCTGTGTGCTGAAGTTTTTTATGTTTGTTTGATGGTTTATGGTGTAAAAAGATTATGACGGTTGAAATTATACCAAAATTCAGAATATCCAGTGAAACTGATTGAAAACAGATTCAAGACTTACAAGAGAACATGCTTAAATCAATGCATAATTTATTTATGAAATTAGAAATGATGTTAATCATTATATTGATTTTTAAAATGTTTGGTTAAGTCAGGTTACTCTCCTTGTCTTCAAACCAATTGTTCTAACATACAGCTTTCCTTCAAACTTGGAGCAGAATGGATACACATTATAGAGAGAAACAAGAAGGCCTAATGTGCATGCCCCATTTAGTATCCATCTTATACATGTTCACCTTATATATGTTCAGCTGAAGCCCCTCAACACAATTTAGATCACATAAATCACATTTATAGCCTGGGTTTTCTTTGAAATTTCAGTGCTCTTTCATTTTTTATACATACTAAATATTTTTGTAGTGTTTGCATTTAACTTGGGGTTTTCATTGGATTAATTATATTTTTTTCTCTTTCTGTTTAGAAAACATAACTATATTCATTGTGTTAGTTTATATTTATTTACAGATATCTCTAATGCTTGATCTTCTTACCTGGTTTCTCTTTCAATTTTCTTAAAACACAGTATTAATTGTTCAACATGTATTGTATAAACAATATCAGGAATAAAATAGAAAAATGCATACTGCTCAAAATAGTTTTGTGCTCAAGTTTCAAATTGTGTTCAAGCTTCTTTCGCACATAAAGTCCTAGTGAGACATAATATTAATTTAAGTGCTACCTAGTGGGTAAGGTGCAAGGATTTTGACATGCATCATCTGAATGGAGAATAAGCCAGACAGTGTAATGCTGGCATTAGAATTCCTTATATATTCAACGCAACCTCTTTTATATGCTTGATAAATGTGTCCACACTTTTTTTAAAATGTAAACCTTTGACTCTAGTTCAAACATTTAGAAAGAGTAGATGTTAAAGCCATCCTGAAATTTTAAAATTTAGAGTAGAAGTTAAGAATTACACATTTAGACATTCATTCACAACAAAGCTGAAAAGCTGGCATGTGGGAATGAAAGGTGAAAAATGGAAGGTGGTATTAAGTTAACCCGTTCTATTCTCAGAATAGTTTAATTATCATTTACTTAGCTTAAGAATTGTTGCTGGAAAATTGGGGGAATTCTCTGGAAAGAGATTAAAGAACTATAAAGTTAAAATGACCTGTGGTTCAAGCTGGAATTTTTCACTCTGAAACTTTCTTCCAAAGTACCTGATACATGGGATCATTTAGTCATGAAAATATAGTTCTCTGTTTTCAAATACTATAATTGCAGAAAAATGCATGCAGATGCTACATTGTGTGAAGTAGATGAACTCTGTCCATGGATGCTGCAGTATTGCTTATCTTAATATTTAGAAATTCTCTAAATGTACTAGAATATATTCATTTAAAGTAGAATACATTTATTTTTTATTTATTCTTTATTGCAGAGATATATAGGGCAATTTTATAAAGATCACCGTCATGGCAAAGGAGTTTACTTTTGGCCTAATGGCTCCAGATTTACAGGTTCATTTTATCTTAATCGTAAAGAAGGCTATGGGACCATGGAATTTACGGATGGAAAACGATTTCAGGTAACCACAAACTTTTAAAATATTATATGAATTCTAATAATAATTACAACACTACACCATCATGTTTATAAAATGAATAAATTCAACAAATATTTGAGAAACTCATTTTTTTTCAAGGTTATGAATGTTTTTAGGAATAGCACAAAGTTTATTCATTTATTTATAGGGTTTATAGACTGCTGATTTCTTTCATAGTGTTGCTAATCCTTTTTAGTATTTTTAGTATTCCTTGAATAAATAAGCATGCAAATACATTAAAATGCATTCTTTTCTGTATTTTGTCTGTATTATTCTGTCATATTTTCTTTTGTTTTTGTACATTTTTTTTCCTCTAAAGGGGCTTTATAAGGCTGATGAGCGTTTTGGACCAGGAATTGAAACTTACCCAGATGATAGGCAAGATGTTGGCCTGTGGCACCGAAACCATATTATTAAACTATGTACAGAAATTCATGAGCATTTTACTATTTCTGATTTCCCAGAACTCAATATCTATTTTGATTCTGAGTCTAAAGAACAGTATATTTCAGAGGAAAGCACTTCAATGTGGGACCTGAATGAAGAAAAGGATCCGTTTTTCTACAGATTCAAACGTCTTCTGCTAAATGATGACAACTATACGTTGCCTGCTAATATGTATATATATTCAATTGATGCAGATAATCTTCCTCTTACTCAATCCTTCTTGAAAGAGTTTGATTTTCAATATTTTAAGAAAAGAAATCATCACGCTTCTGAAAAACCATGGCATATAACCAACACAACCGCTATTCTGGTTAAGATGCAGAAAAACATATATAAATATAGGTACGAACTGACAATTGATAACATGAAAATGTGGTTGAAATTTTATTTTCCGTTGCTTTTTCATATCTCTTTTCAACTGAATAGTTTATACAACTCAATGAATTAAGTATGTTTTAAAAGCTTATACTATATGTTTCATTCTGTCCTTTCAACTGCTGATGAAATATAGCTTCTTCCTTACTTACCCTACACAACATTATTCTGCCAATTCCTTCTCTTTGTGTCTACTGGGGCATTATTTATCAGATACTCAAAAATATTCTAACCCCATCCAAATTCCAGTTATCAGAAATACTGTTATTTCTCATTAGTTTAATGTTTAATTACTTCTAATTAGTTTAATGTTTAAGAAGGTTGGGCAGAGGGCTTCAGGGAGAAAGAAACATATAAGAAATAAGAAGAGCCTGGTAGAAAGGCAGAGATCCAGTCTAGTCCAACATTATGTGACACACAGTAACAACTTAAGAGGATTTGAGAAATTCACAAACAAAGCTGGGAGGGCTACAGCCACTTTCACTGGATGTTTTCTGTGCTTCAGGAGCTTAAAATTAATAACTAAAGATAACTAATATTTTATATGAGTCTGTTGATACTCTTAAAATCATTTAAATTTAAAGTTTAAATAGGCGGCCATCACTAGATCTTATGGCAGTGAGGTTCCCTAACTGTACTGTTTCTAAAAAGTACTTTTTTATTGGCCCTCAATTTCTTTGCATCTAGTTTATCCAATTGTTTAGTTCTAGTTCTGTAAAATTGGTCATTTGGAGAAAATAATCAAAAAACCTGTGTAAATGTGTGTGCGTGCATGTGTATGTGCACATGCGCATAGGATTGATTCTTATGTGCTCCTGCAGCTGTTTTTTTACCTTTCCCTCCCAAAAAAGTGGAACAGTGAAAAACCTTCTTTGCTTGGATGATTAACATTTGTTTATATCATTTTAGATTGAAAATGATCATTTACATGATTGATTGTTTTTCACATTAAATAAATAAGCTCAGGAGAGACCAAGATTAAAGCCTTTTCTCTTCTTAACTAATTTCCTTTGGAGAGGGAATATATTTTTTACATAGATAGAATATTGAATGTAGGGGGATACCGAGTCCTACGATTTCTCATGTCTTCATTCTGTAGTAAATCCCATAAACAGAATTACCATTTCACTAAGCATTAGACCAAAGATGGATAAGGAGAAGTAAGGGGAAAAAAAACTCACCATGTCTTCCTCATGACCTTCTACCGGTCTACTATTGAAAGTGTTCTCACGTATTGTGGTTTGGTATGCTGGCCTGACAGCCGCGGACAGGAAGGTATTGCAGAGGGTGGTGAGCACGGCACAAGACATTGTGGGCTGTTCCCTGACTCCACTGGATGACATCGCCAGGGCCCATTGCCTTGGCAGAGTGAAGAAAATTCTCAGGGATGACTCACACCCTGGTTGGTACCTTTTTACTCTCCTACCATCGGGTAGGAGATACAGAAACATAGCCAGCCGTACCAACAGGCTGAAGAACAGCTTTTATCCATGGGCTGTCAGGCTTCTGAATGGGACATAACTTTATAACTTTATGCATGACAGACTCGTGAGGCCGGCGTGATGTGCAATTAGTTCATAGGGTGAAATAAATTGGGGGGTTGTAGTCACCGTGAGTTTATGGTGAGGGGGGGCACAGAGGGAAGCTCAGCCAATTTCACTGTATACATGTTATACTTTGATAATAAAGGGTTTATTATTATTAAACATCTAACTTGGATGCCACAATGAAACTCTGTACTTCTATTGTATTTCTAGATTTTTATGTCTTTGCTTACTTTCAGGCATTGTCAGAACGAAATAGACGGGAATGTTAATGCCATTATCAAAGGCAACCGATATAGTTTTGCACCCAAAGGTCCCAAAGAGCTTATTGCTGAAGAATTGATTGAGAAATCAGCAGAAGGAGGCTATAAAAGAGTGTATGAGATTCTGAGGGACAATCTGGCCCATCCAGATATAGCAGATATGAGTGGATATACTGCTCTTGCTGCTGCTGCTGTAAGTTCTTATTATATATTATGCTTTCTGGCATGGTCAAGCTGGAAGGGTGGGTAAAAGTACAGCTAAATTCAGTTTTGTATTGTGACAGTATTGTACCATTTAAATTTATTTATTTATAGTATTTATTTATTTGTTTATAGTATTTTTAGTATTTATTTATTTATTTATTTATTTATTTATAGTATTTACACATTGGTTCCTAATCTTAAAATAATTTAAGTGCTATAGATATAGGATTAAAGCAGGTTATCAACAATACATTAAAAAAAATTTATTAGCAGGTGTTAAGGATTAAGGACTAACATAAAAACAAAAGTCGTCGAAAGATGCTTCAAATAGATCAGCACTGGGGCCTTGCATTACTCTATAGGGCAGGTGTCGTTGCAGAGATAGGCCATTTTTGTAACCACCAGCTGAAAATGTGAAAGCAGGGTGTCCTCATGATTTTAAAATGTCTGGAAGACTGAATTAACTGAAGATGCTGTGCTGGTAATGTACATATAATCAGGCTAGAACCTAGTCTAAACTGAATTTAAATAATCAGTAACCTTCAAGATCCACCGTAGTTATTATCTCCAGCTTAATTACTTTCAGCATGTTAGGAGTATTAGCAAAAAAATCAGTGGTTATTACAGCTCTGGGTTGCTTGAGCGATTTGAAAGAATTTATGCTATTTGTCAACAGCAATTGAAAGTATGAAAGAGTAGAGTGTTACTGGACAGTCATTGTAGACCAGTTTGATACCTTAGAGAACTGGTTAGATTACTACATTTAGAATTCTAAGCCAATATGTAATTTATGCATTTTTGGAACTGTAAGCCAAATATATTTGGAGCACCAGATAGGGAGTGATAGACTCATTATACATATTCATTGGAGAAATCAAAATTCATAATCTCAAAATGTGCACAGATTGGAATTTTAAAAAAAAACTTTGTGAAAATAACTGAAATAGTTTGTTTGTACAGTTGAATTATCAAGAAGACATCATCAACCTTCTTCTAGATTGTGGAGCTGATGTGAATAAATGCAGTGATGAAGGATTATCAACTTTATCCATGTGTGTTATTCACTATTTCCCTGCAGAAGGATTTCAGCCCAATATTGCTGAAAGGAATATCTTTATAAAAGAGGTTAGTCCTTCATAATATATACATCTGAAATAAAATCCAGCAAAATGTTTCATACTTTTCATTTTCAATACAGAGAGCATGCACTTAATTGAATTGTGCTGATTATATGGAATGAAGAGGCGTATGCAAGAGATGTAAACTTATCCCCATGATTTGTATTAACCAACCACATTGGTTACCATTGTGCTAAATTCAGTGGAAAGTATTGGATTTTCCTTTTGAAGTTGTCTGGGGTCTTTGTGTTTGTGAAACTGCATTTCTCAAATGAAAGTTAAATTTGCTAATAAGGATTTAACTTGGTTACCAAACTATACACAGTAGGAATGGAGTTACCCACAGTTCCAAATGTTCTTTGCTTAAAATGCTTATTTCTGTGTATTGTGGTATTTGCTCTACTGCTCTATCTTAAATCCCTAAATAGCTTGGATTAGAGCTTCTCTATAGTGATTGGTCCCTAAGTGTCTTTTCTCTCACTTTTAGTTTTATAATATAAAGTGCAGCCAGTGCTTATTGAAACTTTTTAAAAAGTATTTATGATTTTTAGATGTTTTGTTTTCAAAAACCAAATAGCAGTTATTGCCATTAAAAGACAGTGATGTTTTCATCTTTGCTGTCTATAATCTAGTGAGTTGTATAACTGATATACAACTCACTGTATATACTGTATATACTGTATATACTGTAGTCTGAAGTCATATGAATCTGCAAGTTGGCCAGATCCAAGTCTGGTGAGTATTTGTGGACAGGAGAGCACTTGAGTACCATAATGAATGGGGGGAGGGAGGGAAGGAAGGAAGGAAAGAAGGAAAGAAAGAAAGAAGGAAAGAAAGAAAAGAAGGATATAATGAAATCACATGTGCAAAAT